GAAGAGCAAAGGACAATAAGGGTATAATTTTCAAACTAATTAGAGACAAAGGTAGAATGAAAAAACGATCCAAAGGAAGACAAAAATGGGGGAGAAGGAATAGATGTAACAAATGAAACTCATAAGAAGGTGATAGATTTCTATCTAAATATGTCAGTAATATTTTATATACAATGGCTTAAATGATCAAGTTCAAGGACAAAGACTTTCATTATAGGTTTTAAAAAATACTGAACTGCATGCTGTTTAACCTAATAAAAGTCTGAAAGCAAAGGTTTAAAAATTATATCATACAAACACTAAAAGAAATATGTAGCTATTTAAGATCTGAAAAATAGATTTTTAAGACATTAAAAAAAAAGATAAAGAAGACTAGTTCAAAGATTAACAGGTTCACTTTGCCAGGAAGATGAAAGATACTAAATATGTACTCACCAAATCATGTGGCATAAGAAGACATACAGCAAAATCTGACAGAACTATAAAGAGTATATAGATAATCCACCGATAAAGTAAGAGGTTTAATCATGCTTTTGGAAGTAGAAAAAACACAACATCAGATTTTAAAAACATGACTTGACTGGACTGCAGGCCCCAGTGACTTTACCACTAAGATTTATCACATACGTAAGGGAAAAATAACTCCAATATTAAATAAATCCTCCCAGCTACAAAAACACAAAGTACTCCCCAATTCATTTTATGAGACTAACACCATCTTCATTCCAAAACCTAATAGGGACAGTTTGAGAAAGAAAAAGTATAGAACAATTTTATTCCAAAAATTGGACAAAACATTTCTAAATATTAGTAAATCAAATTAATCTATTTCAAAAAAGAATAATGCATTATGACCAAGTTGGATTTATCTCAATAATTCAGGGTTGATTCAACATTAGAAAAATCCATCATAAAGTCATCATATTAATAGATTAAATGAGATAATCAAAAAGCCAATGCTTTGTGACAACCTAGAGGGGTGGGATGGGGAGGGGTGGGAGGGAGGTTTAAAAGGAAGAGGATATGTGTATCCCTGTGGCAGATTCATGGTGTTATATAGCAAAAATCATTACAATATTGTAAACTAATTATCCTCCAATTAAAAATAAATTTTAAAAAAATGAGAATCACATTTTAATAGATGCAGGAAGTTTGTTAAAATTCACATTCTTTTATGGTAAACAGCTCTTAGCAAATTTGAAACTTAGTGATAAAACCACAAAGCTTTTCAATTAGCAGAAAGACTGATATCTGTTATCATTTGTATGTAATACTTCTTTGAAGATCATAGGCAAGATATAGGATAGGAAAGAAAGAAATCTAATATTCACATATTTGACTGTGTATATGAAGAGTCTAAATATAAATTAACTTACATACATTTAAGGTGGTTGAATAAAACATTTGAAACCAACCATTAGGAATGAAGTTTTTAAAATATCGTTAAGTATAACATCACATACCTAGAAATTAATCTCGCAAAAGGCATTTCAGTCCTCTGGGGAGAAGCTGCACATTTTTATTGAGAGAGATTAAAGAATACCTCAGTCCATAAAAGAAGAGGTAGACCATATTGAGGATTTTAAAATTCAATATGTAAACAGTCAATTTCCAACATATTGAATTATAATTTCAATGCAATCCCATCAAAATTCCAACAGCGTGTTTTTCTGGCTAGTTTATTTAAAAATACATATGGAAATGCAAAGGAACAAGAATATCCATGACACTCTTGAAGGAAAAGATAGCAAAACACAAAAGTATAAGGCTGTTTTGTGCTTAGTCGCTCAGTCGTGTCCGACTCTTTGCGGCCCCACTGACTGTAGCCCACCAGGCTCCTCTGTCCATGGGATTCTCCAGGCAAGAAGACTGGAGTGTGTTCCATTTCCTTCTCCAAGGGATCTTCCCAACCCAGCAATGGAACCTGTCTCTCTTGCACTGGCAGGCAGATTCTTTACCACAGAGCCATGACGGAAGCCTGTTATGTAGCAATAGCTAACTAGTACAGATGTCAGCTGGGCTAGATTGGCTGAGTTCCACTCAGCACCACAGTTCCCTTCTGTGTTGGAGAACTGAGCTTCTCGGGAGCCCTTTTCCTATGTGAGTTCTGGTTTATTACCCAGTGTGAGGACTGCACGTGAGATACAGGCTGTCCATGAGCTCAGCCAGAGAACCATGGTTTTCAAACCTTCCCCACCCACAGCTTCCTCATCTCTGTTGGAGGAACTCCATCCTTCTAGTGGCCAGCCCAAACATCTGGAGTTTTCCTTTTGGTTTCTAATAGTACATCCATTCCACAAAAAAAATCCTGATAGCTAGTTTTAAAAGGTAGCCTGAATCTGACCATTTTATCTCCTCCACTGCTATCCTGCTGGCCTAGCTCCTCATCATCTCTCTTGCCTAGACTGAACAGTTCATCTTTATGCATCTCCATTTCTTAGTCTGCTCCCACCAAATATGAGTGATACTTTAAAAAAGTCAAATCATGAACGTTGCCGCTCAAAACCATGAACAGCTCCCATTCCAGAGCAGAGTAAAAGCCCCGTTGTGGCCCACATGCCCTCCACAGGCCTTTCCCTGTCTCCTTTCGACCTACACGGGCCTCGTGTTCCTTCTGCCTGCAGCCACACTGGCCTCTCTGCTCTTCCTCAGGCATCCCAGAGAGATGTACACTGTCCTAAGCCTTCGCCTAGGTGGCTTCCTCCTTTCCAGCAGCTCTTCCCAAAGGTGGTTCTTCAAACCACCTAGAGGGCCGAGTCAATAGGTCTGGGATGAGCTTAAAGATCTGCATTTCTAGTAAGTTTCCAAGAAATGCTGATTCTAATGCTGCTAGTGTGAGGACCACATTTTGAGAAGCTGTACCCTAGGACCTCTATTGATGTAATACATTAAATTCTCTTCTATGCATCTAGAATAAATGTTCTATACCAACCTAGGGAGAATTGCGAAAATGACCACCAACATCATTTTGTGTTCAGTAGAATTCCAGGTGAAAGAGGCTGTGAAATAGCTTTAGGGCTGACCCTCCATCTCTAAGTCTTTGTTCAGGTGTCAGCTTCTTAAGTGAGATCCACCCAGATGACCCCACTTAATAGTGTGATCTCTCCCCATCTCCATTCTCTCAACTCCCCTTATGTTCAGCTCCTTTTTCCTTTTTTGCCATAGCACTGAAGACCTAACGTATTGCAATTTACTTACTTTTACGTGGTTTAGTATCTCTCTCCTAACTGGAATGTAAATTCCAAGGTGCAGGGATCTTTGGTTTTTACTGCAAGGGCTGAACAGACTTTTTTGAATATAAATGAAATATTTGATTTGCAAATGAGTTGAATTCTTTCATCTTCTCAGTAGAATATAAACTCATTTTTTATTAAATGTACTGACTTGACTATGTATGTTCATAGGAAGAGCACAGTAGTGGTAAAAACAGACTTCTGAGATCAGATACACCTGGATTCAAAAGTCAGCTTCAATGTTTTTCTCCATGGAACTATGTAGGAAGGCACACTTTTTAAAAATAAAAATCTCAAATAACTTCAGAAAAACTCTATTTTAAAACTTCGCATTAAAACCTTTACCTAACCTTTCCATAGCACCTTCTGGCAAAAAGTTTTCCAATATATAGCGAATAAAGTGTAGACTAATAACACCTTGCTGTTTTACTGACACTGAGAAAGTACTTCAAGTTCAACCCCCATAGAATATTGGCATCTCCACTGACAGTATTCATCCAGGAATGGGTTTCTGGTTCTTTGGGTTCTAGTGACCTTCCTACGTGGGACCCAAACCCCACTACAAAATTAAAATCTCACATCTCTTATACCAAGCATTTGAGAGAAAGAGTTGTTTACAAATATGAATACTCTGCCTACCCACTTTAGGTCTGACCGACCTGTACAAGAGCATCGCAACACTTTCACAACTGCGGTGAAACATAGGTGTGGGGTTGGTATCATTTATGCTGCACATTCATGCATGACCTGATCTTGCCGAAATAGTCTTTATTTCTGAACATTCCAAAACAGCAGTGTACACAGCAACAATTATTAAGTCGTATCCCATAAGAAAGCATACATTAGTGCAAATGGGTTTTGTAAAAGGTCTATCAAAAAGCTTTATTTGCTTTAAAATGCATTCATTTCCAGAAGCATTGTTAATAAAACGTTACAGTTTCACCCTCTGTAAAAGTATTGAAAATCAATTGTGGTACAGTAGCAAACATTGCAGGTATTAAGTGCAATGAGCTCGTGATGCCATTATAAATATGAAAGCCAGGAATGACAATAAATTAACAATGAAAACAACAAGACCCATTTCACGCTGCTGTCTGGCTGTCTCCTTGCAATGCTTCAGCTTACATTGTGCTCATTCAACAGAAAATTATGTCTCAATTGTGTGATGGATTTTTGCTGATATATCCCTAGAGCTAAAAAAATAGTACCTTACCACAAAAATATTTTTATGGCACAAAATTTAAGTTGTTCCATAGTGGTTCACATAGGTGTAAAAAGAAATAGGCACAAAAAATAAAATTCCTGTAAACTATAAAAAAGTAAATTTCAAAGCATATGTTATATAACCTAGTTGTAATTATGCAATGTATTAAAATACAGAATATGTAATGGGAAGATGTTTAGAACACGTAAGTAAATTGAACAGGTTAAAAAAAAAAAAAAAACCTCAGATGGCAAAGAAAGCATTATGGATACATCTCAATTCTCTCAAAAAGGATTCAGGTACATTATCAGTTCTACAAAAACTTCCTAGCTCTAAGTCTCACAATACTGCAACTGTGGATCTGTGAACGTTGCAGTATCTCAGGCAAATATTTAAGTGCAATAATTAGTCTCTGGTGATTGGTCCATTGAAAAACAATGCAGTAAATGTGTTAAAATGCAGAAGGGAAAGAATATCCTGACACCCACTGTTACCCAGCCAGCTGGGTAACACGACCCTCATTTCCAGTTCTTTCCCACTCCTCAAGGGTACAGAAAACTGCATCAGTAGCAACCATCTCTCCAGTTTCCATCCCTCAGCGTGCTGAGTGAAGACAGAGGTTTTGGAGGCTGAAGGAAACTGTGAAGGGATTAAAAAAGGAAACGGCTTGTAAGTAACCCCACAAGTCCCATCACTCTCTCTGATCTCCCCGCCCCCGCCCCAGCAGTGACAGCGTGCTGGCACTTTCCCATATGTGCCTTGTGGTTCCAGCCATCAACATGCCCATCTGCAGGAAAACCCAGTTCTCAGCACGTTGCCACGAGTGTTGTGTGTGCACAGGCAGATGTGCAACGTAATTGGAAAATTACCAATATCCTAAAGTGTAGTAAGAGCATTTTAAAATCAGAGAAAGATAAACATGATAGAAAAATGGCCTGAAAATATCAGTGGTTGCTTCACTGAAAATGTCTTCATGTAATCCTACTGTATTCAATCTTACAAATAATCAAAAGATTTGCCTATTATGTTGGCAGCGAATTTTTAGAAAGCATTAAAACCAATGTTTGCCTAAGTTTGGGGAACCAGACCCTCTATCTGGCAATGACAGCCTTTCCAGATTAGTTTGAAGACAGACATCCCAGGACAAATGTACTGTCCACAGTTAACATATATGCATCAAACAATGTGATTCTTATTCAGTCATGAATGAAACACAGCCCTGCATTGAACTAACCATACACAAAAGTGATCTCTATCTGGAGAGTAAGATTATTTACTTTTGTTTTGCAAAAGTTTCTGAATTTGCTTTTGATCTGAGCACCTATTAAGCATCAGAAAATACAAACTATACATACCTAAATGCATAAATAAAGAAAAATTTGTTCCCACATCCTTTGCAAACTGTCACCATGGTTCCCCCTCCCTCTCCTCCTCCAAATACTAATTTCTTGTAAGAGTTGTATATATTTACTGCCTCCATTGCCGCATCATCTAATTTGTCAACTCACTTTTATGGACTTGCTTTTAACCATAAAACACTCCAGCAGATCCACTTCAGAAAGGGCATAACATGACCGTGAGCTTATTGAACATGTGCCCGGCAAGCAATGTGGAGTTTAAAAAATTCTACCTGGAACATACCAAAGTTCCCAACATAATTTAATAAAGCCCCAACTAAATATCACTAGGATGCTTTTTAAATCATGACTGTGGGAGAGGGTGTGTTGTGTACATGCCTAACATCATTTGTGCCCATTCTGATTTAAAAAAAAAAAAAAAAGATTGAAAAATATTGAATCCAGAGGCGGAAGGTCATGAGTCAGGCCAGAAGGGGCAGAGGAACCGACCAGGGTTAGACAGAGGGAACGTCAGGGCGGTGCCTGGAGCAGTTTCTAACTGCAGACGATGAGCAGGGCTACAAGGAAGAACGGACCAAGGCTCTCACCTTCTGACAGGCTGTGCAATTTTGCTTCGAGGCAGGTTACTCCCATTTATTGCCAGTGACGGTCTTGGAAGAGCGCTGCGGCCCACGATGCTGGAAGCTGCAGCTTTGGTGGGGGTGGGGATCCCCGTGTTGGAGTATAGCTGTAAGCTGCTGGTTAAGGGCGCGTTACTGCTGCCCTGGACGGTTGGGCTCACGTAGGCCGTGGCTTTAAGAGGCTGCCGTGCTGACGCTGGGAAATGTCCCACGCTGTGGATCCTGTGCTGGAGCTGTCCTGGGGATGGAACTAGGAGGAAAAAGAACATGTGCACGTTTACCACTGTCTGCACGTGTCATGTTCACAGACGCTGATGCTGTCTGAAAGGGTTTTCAATGTCCAAATAAAGGTATCTACGTACTGGCCCAGTTTCTTCTGAAACACAATATACATAAAGTGTTATCGTTTAGCAGCTAAGTTGTGCTAATCCAACTCTTTGCAACCCCATGGACTGTAGCACACCAGGCTAAAGGCACCTAAACATTAAGCCTAGAGTGAAATGAAATTGTGACACGAACACATTCATGTAACCATATTCACATCAAGACAGCAAACACTGCCGGCGCTTCAGCAGCTTCTCACATATCCTCTCCCAGTCAACACGTCCTCCAAGTGACTGTTACTTTCACTTTTATCACCACAGATTTGTTATTCCTATTTTGAACTTCATGTAAATGGAATTACGGAGTATGTTCTCTTCCTTGACTGGCTTCTTTGACTCAACATTATGTTTTTGAGATTTATCCATATATTTGCATTGCTGTGTGGTATTCCACAGAATGTATGTTAAAATCCATTCTCCTGATGATGCAAAGCTTGGTTACTTCTAAGTCTGGGGTTTTATGAACATTCTTGAATATGCGTTGGCGTTCAGATGTATTATATTACAAGTACATTCCAAATTTATAACTCTTAGGATAAATGAAGTTAGCAAAGCTGATGAACAGAACATCAAAATAGAAAAAAATCAGTTGCATTTCTAAATTATCAGTGAACTAAAATTTGAAAAAAATACTACTTATAAAAGCATTTTTAAGATAAAATAGTTAGGAATAAACTGAACTATAGCTGTATTAAACCTCTACACAGGAAGCTATAAAACTTTGACAGTTAAGAAGATCTAAGTAAATGAGGGAATATTCCATGTTAATGAATTAGAAAACTAATATTGTTAAGATACCAATTCTAAAATTTATCTACAGATTAAATGAAATTTCACAAAGTGTATCATTTAAAATGAAACTCCAGAAGAGTTATTTCAAGAGGGCAGTCCTATTAGTTCCACACAAGATAGATAACTACATTGAGTTTAAAAAGAAATAATAGAAACTAGTCAAGATTAATAGACACAATCCTAATTTTACAAATGAGAAAACAAGGATCAGAAAGGATACAGTTTCCCATGAACTTATGACTAAGGAAAGACCCAGACTCAAGCTGTTGACTGCAAACCTAGTGTCTTCCCTCTGTATCATGCTGTCTCTCCACTTTCTCTGCTCACTTGGTTCACTCCAGAAGGCACAGCAGTCCAGAACTAGCTCTTCATGATACACATGCATGATGTTTATATACACTCATGATGTATAAAGGATATTCACTTAGGGATGAAAGTCAATGAGAACAGAGTCCCGAGATCTGAAACAAGTTCATGACTGACCTCCTCTTACACAGTAACACTCAAGTTCTTTTGTTTTTCTCTCATTATTATGCTTGAGTTACAATGATTTTTCTATTTTCTTCATTTATGTTTATTAATTGCAATTCTTCTATAAAGAAGAATTTCCCCTCTACTCCATTTATTTATTCAATTAAGTATGAACCTATGATTATTTATTTTAATCTATGGGTTATAATCTTTTAATATAACCATTTATTCTGTGGCTCAATCTGTCGCAAGTTTGGTCTCTGGTAGTTTCATCTAGTTGTTTCCTATATCCTTTTGACATGCTCTCATCATTTTTTCAGGACTTCCACAAGACTTTCCATTGTTTGTAGGGTATGTTCCATTTTGGGTTACATACATTTTTCTGGCACTCAAACTGTGCTACTGATCCACAATGAATGAAGAGTTCACAAAAACTCCTAATAGTTAGCCTATTTGCTACTGTCACTACTGTATTTTCCCCTTCTATGTTGATACTGTTGACTTTGATACTCAAGCACAGAACTTTTCTCTCAGTTAAATTTCATCATGATGTGTTTGGCCATCTGTCCTAACCTCCTGACATAAACTAGAAAGCAATCCTCCATTTCCCACCATTAGTTCCCAGGCTATCTTCTGGGTCTTTACACAAGCCTTTAATTCAAATGTTAGCAGATGAAGCCCTAAGATCCAGCCCTACAGCATTCATTTATACATTCGCTCAAACAGCTCCTGAGAGCTCAATGTGCCCAGCAGCAAGTCAGGTGCTGCGGACAGAAAGTCAGAGGAACCACGGTCCACACCCAGAACGAGCCAGTACGCTAGGACGGAAGATAAACGCGGCAGTAAGTGTGACAGTGAACGGCACAGGCGGCAACCACAATCCTGACCCGCCCTCAGCATGTGCTGGCGGCACCTGGGGTCTCTCAGGGGCTCCACGGGGTCTGCCGGGTGCAAACTGGAGACATCTGGTTGACGGCGCCTGGCCACATACTTGGCCTTCCAGGTCTGGGCCTATCAATACTGGGCCTGTGGCCCTGAACCTGCCTCCCAGCGGTCAGTCTTGGACTTAACCCCAACTACCCACACAGGCGGCATGAGTTGGTGGGGGGAACCTGGAGCCACGACATCCCCAGACAAAGGGAGAACACAAAAACGCTAGATTGTACTCTCACCATGCTGCTCATCACTGGGTAAAACACAGACAATGAAAGACTGGGCAAACTGCAATGAAGCAGGTAAACCCTACTCTTCAGCCGCACGGAAACAGAACTTCATTTGCCCCAGGAAAGCTACGGACTGACGCAAAACAAGACCACAGTAAGAGCTGGACAGAACAGCTGTGCTCTGCTCTGAGTAAACATAAAGTGCACAGCTAGAAAGAGGCAGGACTGCATAGGAAACACTTTTGTATGATGAGCAGAGAGAGCAATCACCATTCAGGGCATTTACTTCTATCCTTAGGTATAAAGGCTAACATATAATTTGCTAATTATTAATTGGTAACATAGGCACTGGTGAAAATACTACTTAATGGTGAAATACAAAATAAAAGTCACAGGAGAAAAGTTTCCTGTAGTGTTCAGAGAAAGAAAATGAAATAGTAAGGTACTTTCCTAATGGTGTTACAACTAATTAAGAATTACCAAAAAAACTGTCATACTTACTACAAGACTGTATTCTTGAAATTCCATTTGCAGCTCCATGCAAGCTTGAGTCAAAACTCTGACTATTCCGCACGGTGACTGGAGAACTCCCATTGCTACTAACAGTGGCTGTACTTGGCATCCGAGCTAGGTTAGGCATACTTCTTCGGAGCTTGTCTAGAAAAGTATTTTACTGTGTTAAAAAAAGAATCTCTACTTTTATGCTGATTAAGACACTAGATTTTAAAAGTAAATACAAAGAGAAATCATATTTTGTTCAATGACAAACAAATTATCATGTGTGTTATGAACTCTAAGAAGCTAACTGATTACCCCTCGTTTAGGGAGACAGTATCTTCAAAAGGCTCCACCGAACAGTTAATGGAAAGCATCTGTTCTACAAAAGAGGGAGGGATTAGTCAATTAGCTGGCTGTTCTTAGATAAAATTATATTGAAATGAGGTTAAACAATAATCTTACAGCCATTAACATAAAAAAACCTAGAAATTGTTACGTTAGTTAAAAAAAAAAACACCTAGAGGTGTCAAACCAACGATTACTGAAACTTTTGCTAGAGCATCAAAAAGGAAAAAATTCTTAAAATTCTAACGAGATGTTTTGAGATAGCCACTCATCACATCAATATGATCACATTAACTTCTGCCAAGTTTTAAGGGTCATGAGTACGCCACCAAACCTTTAGAGACTTCAAACACTTCCCCTTCTTTTTCTTGCTGAATACACCTTCTACCGCTAAGAGGCGGCAGAGAGTAAGCCACGCACAGACCTTGGTGAATTTTAATTCAGCCACGAAGCAAAGGCTGTAGCTCTACAAAGCAGATAGTTTTCTCTTAATTAATACCATGCCCGCCAAACTAACATATATGTATTGGGTCATTCAAGCTCAGAAAACAGATATATTTGAATACTAATCAAAAACCCATTCAAGGACAAATCTGATTCCTTTCTGTCCCTTCACACACACACAGCTCCATCCACATCACTTAGATCCCTGAAGTCACCTAATCTAAAAAGGGGTGTAATCTTCCAAGTTTCCCCTCCCTTCTTCCTCCTCAACTCCAAGTCCTGTCAATTCTGCCTCGTAAGTAGTTAACACATCTCCCTCTACCACCCTAGCACAGACCTCATTATCTGTCATCCACATTTTCACAAAATCCTCTTAACGGGTTTCTGTGCACCGTCTGTTCCTCCCCACCTTCCATACAGCTGGTGACTTCCAGCCACTTCCGAAAACACTCCCCTTCCTCTGAAAGCCCACGCTCCTGGGCTGAGCAAAGACCCTTCCAAGGTGTGGTCCCTGCAGACCTCTCCACCCTCACCCCCTGCTGCCCCTGCCTCACAGCCTGCTCGTCAACCAGAGTGAACCACGGAGTTTCCAAATACTTCACACGTTCCTGCATCCGTGAGCATGCTGGTCCTTCCTCTTGGACACCATTCCTCACTTTGTGGAATGAATGAATGAACACATATGAATGCTATACAGTGGGCTTCCCTTATGGTTCAGCTGGTAAAGAATGTGCCTGCAATGTGGGAGACCTGGGTTCGATCCCTGGGTTGTGAAGACCCCCTGGAGAAGGGAACGGCTACCCACGCCCCATTCTGACCTGGAGAATTCCATGGACTGTATAGTGCATGGGGTCACAAAGAGTCAGACGTGACTGAGCGACTGTCACTCACCCATGGTATACAGTGTGTTAGGCGAGTTTCCAACTCTCAGGGGATTTTAGTCTAGACCACTGTTTCTCAATCTTTTCTTCTATTATCCATCTTTAGGGATCCATTAAGGAATAAAGGCAGCAGCCAGGTACCCACCAAACATCTAGATCTAGCCTTCCCGTCAATACAGGTCCTTGGGCTAACACCATGTCGCTGATCACCCTCCTTCCCCACCAAATCCTAAAAATTACAGTTAGCAAACGTCCTGTAAGATTTCATCATTTATCACACCTAACGAACTACTCCAAATACAGCAGTCTCTCCCTTCCTTATCAGCAGGTGATACGTTTCAAGACCCTCGGGAACGCCCGAATCCATCAACAGTATTAATACATAGTACTGAACTTTACAAAGCTTCCCTGCTGGCTCAGATGGTAAAGTATATGCCTGCAGTGCAGGAGACCCAGATTCGATCCCTGGGGTGGGAAGATCCCCTGGAGAAGGGATGGCTACCCACTCCAGCATTCTTGCCTGGAGGAGCCCGTGGACGGAGGAGCCTGGCGGGCTACAGTCATGGAGTCGCAAAGAGTCAGACAGGACTGAGTGACTAACACATACAGTGAGCCTTACACATAGGACGTTCTTCCCACACAGGGATGACAGGCAGGCAGTATACAGAGCCTGGATGCGCCTGACAAAGGGCTGACTCGTGTCCCACCCGGGACACAGCAGCAAGGCACAAGACTGCCTCACGGTACTCAGGACAACGCCCACTTTAAAACTGACAACTGTGTATTTCTGGAATTTTCCACTTAACATTTTCAGACTGCAGAAGACCATGGGTAACCGAAGTCACAGGTAAGGAGGGACGACTTCGTGCTCCTTTTAATCCCAGGAGCCCCAGAAATATTCCGAGGACTTTGAAGAGCCCTCCCTTTTGAACCCAGGCAGTGTACGAGCTATGGAAATAGTTAAGTATTAACACACATTTCTGTTTTATTTTTAATTAAATTAGATCAGTAATATAACAATTATTTTCTTCCATCTATATTATTTTAATAATTTAGAAAAATAATTGATAGATTAGTTTTCAAGTTACAACTCATTCTACAATTTTGTTTAAATAATACTGTGGTAACAAATGAAGCTTCAGATATCTGAGCCATATTAGTAAAAGTTAAAAAAAAAAGTGGAGATTAGGATACAACTTTTACTTTTTGGCACTTTAAACTTTTTCAGCAATTTTTGTTTCCGGCAAAACAGTCATCATTTCATTTGATTCCTTATAACAAACTTAGGTTAAAAGATTACATGTTAAAGGAAGGAGAATGTATACCAGATGACTTGATGTCCAATTATATCTGAGTTTTCTAAGAAAGGGATGTTACTTGTCTGCATTTTGAATGAAAACTGAGAGACATGGGAAGACGGGGAAAGGTGTAAGTGGTAAGCCAGGCTGGCAACTCAGCATCTACCAGCCTTCAGAGCTGTGTGCTCAGCCATCAAGGTGATTAGCCAGAAGTTCAATCCAGAGAACTGCAGTTATCTTCCATTTCCTTTGCATGTGGAGACCAGCCCTTTGAGAGAAATAAAACTACTACATTCAGGCACGAGGCTGAGATATGTTTCCATTTTCCTAATAGGAACCATCGTAACACAGGTTTAGGTAAACCTAATCCTTTACATAATGGTGGTGAATGTAAGTTAACACCACTTTTCTAAGGGGGAACAATAATCCCACTGACAATACTAATCTAGATGCAGAGGGCACATCTGCTGGACAGGCAGGATGTGACAAAAAAAAAAAAAACCTTCATGGGAACATCTCTGGGTGCTCGCTCCTGCAGTTTTAATGATTCGGTAGTTACTGTCTTTGACATTATGAGCTTTAATAAATTGGTCATCAGTGGCAGTCACTTCACCTGCCACTGTTTTCTTTTAGATTTGAAATCTGCAAGTATTAAGCAGAGATAAGTGCTAACTATTAAACCTTAAATATATTCAAATGATCTCTCAATTAGCATGAATAATTACAACTACAGAGGAAGAGAAAGTAAAAACTTAGTACATGCTAGCAGGTGATGACTAGCACAATTTGTATCTGCCCTTGCTATATTTTTAAATAACTTGCTTAAATGATCATTTCTGGGCCCAGGTGTGAGAAATGGTGCTACAGAATAATTCAAAAATATTAGTTTATAAATATGGTTTGTCTTTCCATACGCTACAGGATTTGTGTGTGAGGGTCAGACTGATCATTATCGTAAAAACATACCAGGCTAAAATAGCACATGATTATTCCCCATATAGTTCTTGGAAGTCATGATCTATAACTCCTGGGAGTGGGGAAGGAAGATAAATGATGAAGAGGGAGGTAGGAAAAAAAATACAAAAGAGAATAACATATATTCCCACCCTCTGTGTTGACATCAGGACACATCGCCTTGCTGTTACCACACACAACCTCAGCCTCCACATGCGCACTGCCGTGCAGACCTTAACTCGAGATGTCGAGAAGTCAGGGGAAAGACACACCCCAACATCCCCCAGGTCTCCACATGTACGAGCAGCATCCTCGCCAAGCCCCGTCGTCCAGGCTCACCACCCATCGCTCTGAGCCAGAGGCAGGCAGGGAGAGATGCGGGGTTTTGAGAAAGACAAGGGGGGTGCAGCCCTGTGCCTCCAGCTCTCTGAAGCTCTCCCTGAGCCCCTCAACTCCTGTAACTCTGCCGCACTACACTTGTACCAGGCGCAACATAAAGGTGCTTCCCATTTCTGACTCCATCTGTTACATCACAGAGGTTTTCTTGAAGCTGTAAATCTCTAAGTCTCGGACACGTAATCAGAAGCTGATCAATTAGAGACTTAAGTGTACACCAACTGAACTGGTAAGGTCTTGAGGCTGTACTTAAGTTCATCTCAGAAACATTTATCCATTATTTATACTGACCTTAAAACCCATTTCTTGGCCACACATGAAAGATCTGAGCATACCAGATACCAAAGCGGCATACAACCTACCTCCTCCATTGGTCCTATTTGGCTGCTGATCTGGAGTCTGGACTTGAGGTGAATAATACTGTTGCTGCTGGTAATTATTCGAAGGAAAATACTGGGAACTGGGGCTCCTCCTACACTCCCGAATGCTGGAGAAAGTCTGTGAATGGGGTATTCCTCTTTGGAAAGGGGAACATCTTGGAAGACGGGGCTGAGGTGGTGGCAGATGATCAAATTCCTCCTCGTCCTCCAGGCTGAATCGATCATATTCTTGATCACTACATGTCCCTTTTTTTCCTGAACTCAGTGACACAGTGGAACTGTGTCTCGACACGGATGCTGAAGTAGAAGCATAATCTTGCCTGAGACCTGTAAGAACAACAGGAAATACTATTACCTTAGGAGGCATTTCAGTTTCCTGCAATCAAATATTGCAGGAAAATTCATACCAAGCACGATTCAAATGGAGACCCACTGTCTTGTTCTTAGTTTATTAAATCCCAAGAAGACAGACACATTTACTTACCAAACAGACAGCTCATACTAGACTATCCTGTTTTAGGGGGAAAAGGAAAAAAAACTGCCCTAATTCCAGGGATGATTAAATACATGGCTCCAGGTCATCAATCAGTGTCTGTCAATATCCCCAAGCAATTCCTGATGAAATCTGGAGAGATGCTTAGGAAGGCTGCTTAGGAAAAACTATTCATCATCATTAGGAGCATTAACTGTGAGTTAGACAATTCAAAGAATCAACTCTGCCCAGGTAGGAGGTCCTCCTGCTCCCCACACCAGCTTTCAAAGTCAAAGGAAAGTTCAAAACCTAAGGCACAATATTTTCTTAACAAGGTCACTTCTCTTGTTCTTTTTGTTACTAATGTTACCTTTTTCAAAGCATGCTGACACTTCAAAATTTCAGTAGTTTGGGGTCATCTTCAATGACAGTCATCTAAAAATAGTCAACCTGAAGTCTCTACTTATTTATCCCATTGTCAACTCACAACTTTTTTTAAAGTGGTCTGTGCCTGACTACTTAATTTCTGAGGCTGACATCACATTTCTCAGCTACCTATTTTTTAGAAAGAGTTACTGTCAGTTTACTGTTACAAAATATAAAAAATCACTTTTCCTCTCAAAATGTTATCTTATTTAATCCTGCACAAGCAATACGGTGTTTCTCATAGTAGCCTTGCCCAATTCTAAAAGCAGGAAACTGTTTTGCTCAAATGATACTTGGCTATTTCTATTTATGTTGGCTGGAGAAGCTAACTCCAAAATAAGCTTAGCCCAGTTCTGTGATCTACATCTTCTTTCGCTTTTTGATACCATTAATACCATGGAAGTCGTTCACTCTCAGATTACTTGCTGTAACTTTATTGTACAACCATTTCCAATTATCCCCTAAACTGTCCCATTTCTAATTATCTCCTCTTCCATAATTATCTATTTTGAGAAGTGTATGTTTTTTATTAAAATAGTTAACTTTCAATGTTTTGTTAATGTCTGCTGCATGGCAAAGTGATTCAGTTATACATGCATAAATACATTCTTTTCCATATTCTTTTCCATTATGGTTCGTCTCAGGATACTGGATAGTTCCCTCTGCTATACAGCAGGGCTTTGTTGTTTATCCACTCTCTCTATATATAAAAGTTTGCATCTGAGAAGGCATTTTTAGTTGAATTTTTATTAAGATAACTGCACACTCACATGCAGTTCTTGGGAATAACAGAGATTTTTGTGTGTGTGCACTCTGTCCACTTTCCCTTTCTGGTATCATTGTGCAAAATCATAGAATAAAAGGACAACTAAAATACTGGCAGTTATACAAACCATCTGATTTAGATTTTTCCCAGTATTATTTACATATATATGTACAAGTGTTAGTATTACATTCTAAACAATTTGATCACCTGTAGACTGGTATACCTACCACCACAGTCAAAAATGCTACAGCTCCCCAAATCCCTCATGCTGCCCTCTTATAACCATGCCCACCTCCCTCCTGAGAGCCCACACCAAGTCCCTGAGCCCAATAGCCACTACTATGCCATCCATTTCTAAAACGTTATCTAAAGGGAATTATACAGTATGCAACCTGGGGCATCTTTCTCATGCAGCATAATTCCCTGGAGATACACCCAAGATGGAATGTCTATCAAAATCCCTTCTTTTTTCTTGCTGAGTAGTACTCCACAGTATGGAGGTACCCCAGCTTGACTGACAGTTTATTACTGAAGGACATCAGAGATCATTCTGGTTTTTAGCTATTATTATAAATAAAGCTGCTATGAACATTCATGTACATGTTTTTGTGTTTTTGAACACAAGTTTCCATCACTCTAGGATAAATGCCCAAGAATACGATGTGCTGGGCCTTATAGAAATGGAAGTTTCTCTAAGAAACTGGCAAATTGTTTCCACAGTGGCTATACTGGCAATGTTTTTACATCCACGTATTTTGGCTGGAGTATATCTTAATACTTTACAATGGTCATGAGACTGAGAAGCACTTAATTAATTGCTCCACCTCCAGAGTAGGATGATATAAGAGAAAGAATAGAACTGTTTGCCCATTACCTGGGGGAGAAATGCCTGAAATCTTAGATTTCAAGTAGAAGCCTCTAGTTTATCACATTTTCTAGTTTAAAAAGAACATACTTTCTTCTTGCAGACGAGCCATGATCTGAACATCTGTGAGGTCCTGTAACTTGTATCCCATGGAGATAGAATCGTCTTCCAGCTCGGAAGTACTCAGCTCGCTGTCTATGGACGATTGGGGACTGAGAGGGGAGCCCCTGGGTGTGTGACCTGAAAACAAGCAAACATGTTCGTTATTAACTCTGAAGAACTGATATCTGTATGTGCTTCACAGTTCACACGTCAACACTCAGCAAATCAAGGCATTCTCCAATCAAAGGACATAGAGTGGCTGACAGATAGTTTAAAAAAAAAAAAAAAAGACTCCTCTGTATTTTTCCTGTTTTCATAAGTCACCAAAAAATGACCAGCACACCACTATGACAAGACAATGGCCAGACAATATGCATGTTTTCACATGTTTGTAATTCATATACACAAAACCACTCATTTTCTGTTTTTTTTCCAAATTGAGTTTTCATAGTTCAAAAAACCACTCTCTGCTGTACACCACAAAAAAACTGTCAAGAAGGTAGATTTCAGTGGATTTCATGTTATGTGTTTTTTTTTTTTTTACCACCATAAGACAAGAAAAATCAATAATGCTAAACCTGCATCCCATTAGCTTAAGTATATACCTATAGCCATTAAGATGCACATGCTGTACACTTCCAGTTAATAATCAGACATGCTTGTCACTGGTAATAATGGATATATATTTTACAATAAATTTTAATCTGGTACATTTTTTAAACAGGTACAAACAGCAGTGCCATACATGGATAAGAATATCACACACAAAAGGCACACGTCCACACAAAAGCACATACAAAAACTTCATAAATCTTTATCACTCCATCTATGATGACAGAGTCATCACAGGAGACCAGGAGTCACTCATGAAAGTAAGTAGTGACTTGAGATACAACAACCAGGGAAGAAAGGACCCAAGAGGGAAAATTATAAGAATAGAATCACACCAGTGCTCAAACAATGAAGGAAATGTTGAGACGGCCATCACATAAAAAGCTACTATGACTATTCTTTCTATATAACCCTGACTTAAAAAGCTATCAAAAAGTTTTTAAACAAGATGTAAAAGTCTTATAATCTTCAACCATAATGAAAGTACCTCTATTTTGTTTGACATTTAATTTTAAAAACACATTTGGAAATACATATATGTAGTATATACATTTGGTAAGGAGGGAAAGCTGCCTGCTATACACAATGAAGAGCAGGTTAATGATATTTAAGTATACATTAATGCTAGCCTTTTTCGTATCCAAAGTAGATGTGCAGCAAACTCCCCATCGTGATAAGATCACCCTCAAGCTTTTCAACGAAAGGTGGATTATTTTTTAAGCCGTGTTTGGTGACCGATTCACAAAGTAAGCAGCTAATCAAGAAGTTGAAATATTACCTGTTTTTTCAGGTGTTAGTATTGCTTTATTTGAGGTTTTAGAGAAGCTGGGAGTATTAATGCCATTGCTATAAGGGCTGAGTCTCGCCACAGGACTATAAGGAAAAGCCAGTGAGACATTTGAAGGGAAGAGACTTCGCCATCGGCTGACTGTCACAGAAGCAGAAAACAAACAGCAGCAGTTAGCTATGCAGAGGCAAACATGGGCTGGTCAGAGGGAGGAAGGGGAGGGGTTAAAAAAAAGGAAGAGACAAAGCAATTTTCCACTCTTAGCTGACTCTCATCCATCTTAGGGAAAAACATGTAAAAATGGGCTATTTGTGAATAAGGGTCCTATTTCCACCACCATTAGGAACAAATCAATCAGAAGCACCTTGATTACAGTCAGTATGTCTAAATAACAATGAAAGTTTGTCTTTAATTTCCTCATTATGAATGTTTTCTGTTTTTCTATTTCTGCACAAAAACTGAAATGTTTTAATAATATAAAATGTTAAGGTCAAAAGAAAAACTCAAAGCAATTTATAATTACAGAAAGTTCTTTTAATATAACTGTTAATGGTCCTATTTTTTTTCTAAGGTTTATTTTCAATCCATTTAATATTAACAAATGTTGATCAAAATATTTTTATGAAAACTTGTTCATGGATTATTGAAGAAACTTAAAATGACTACCACATTTCTGAATGGGCTTGAGGCCAAAACAAATTTTATGGAAAAATGATCTATAAAAATAACACAAGGGTGTATATACACCAAAACTTACTGATATTTTAGATACCAGGCATAGAGATAATTGATAATCTGTTGGATTTTTTTCTTCATAAAAAAATATTTTCCAAATTTTCTGCACTGAATGTGTTATTTACGTAACTTTTAAAGGTAGGATTACACATATTATTAATTTAATACTATAAAATAAGGAAGAAGGGAAATGGCAACCCACTCCAGTATTCTTGCCTGGGAAACCTCATGGACAAAGAAGCCGGGCGGGCTACAGTCCACGGGGTCGAGAAGAGTCGGACACAACTTGGCAACTGAAGAAACAAACAAGGAACAAAAAGGAATGTACCTGCATGGGCAGGTGATCTAACTGTACATTATCTCACATTTCCTAATTAACATATTTCCCTCCTCCAAAATTCCCAGGACCTCAGGGTCATAAAAACACTCTAAATTGTAAAAAAAAAAAAAAAAAAAAAACTTAAGTCACATCTAAAATCACTCCCTCTCTCTTCATGGAGTACTGTGCTAGTCAAAAAACACTTTTCTAAAAAGCAATCCCTTAGATGTATACTAAGTGGATATTCACTATATATAAAAGCAGGATAGGAGGGAAGAAAAAATTAGATTAAAAATATAAATTAGATTTCACTTTGAGCAGTAACTTGGTTATATTTGCTGGAAATTTGACAAAACTTGAAGAAACATGTATAAAAACGACTGCTCTGAAATGCACTCCCCACGACATTACTAATGAGCAAATAGCTGAAAAGTGTTCAAAAATAGGGGGCAGCAGGGTGGAAAGGAAGAAGCTGTGGGCAGGCAAGAAAGTTAATGAGCTTCAATCCCGGGGCCAGTGAGGTCCTTGCAAAATATCACTAAGGTTATTTACAAGAGCAAAATGCTTCCTGTTACTTCAGCAAGAATTCTTGAGAAACAGTACATCCCATATGAACAATTACAGAAGTACCTGTTCCCTATGTAGAAGAAAGAACTAGCTGAGGAATTTGCATTCAGCGATTCTGTTTTCAGAATACACACTTTTCAAGAACTGAACTCTGCCAGGAAGCCACGTTCCTGGTTGACACCAGTCATGACCCTTATCCAACATGCAATTCTCTGGGGGTTAAGGAGTCCTTCCCAACCTGCCCAGAGCAGAGATGTGCAGAGCTGGTATTCCCTGCCCTAAACCACCAGATATGTAAACTGAGGCCCAGATACACTGAGAAATAGCAGTTAAGATGCAACACCCACTATGTAGTTTGTCTCATACCTCCAAAGTTTCTCATTAACATTATTCTATATTAAAGAAAAAAGAAACACCCAACTGCTCTTTGTGACTGCTCACTTGCTTAACAGATGATGTTATGTCACACCAGTTTGATCACTCACCAGATTACAGTGACTGCGTGTTCTCACCCACAGATGCAGGTGACAACGTATCACAACTAAATAGCATTCATTACTCTGCACAATGACTTCTGTGACCCAGCCACACAGCATAATGGCACAGTGATCGTGGCTATGACAGCAAGATCCCAACTGAGAACACAATTAGCATCTATTGCGAGAAAGCAAGCTCTGCATTGTCCTCTTGGCATGGAGGATTTTAAGAAAAGGGAGGAGAATTGTTGCGGAGGCAAGCAAACAAAACAATGATGTTGTATTAGTGCCCAAGGTTGTGGTGGAGGAGGAGAGGGGAGTAGAGTGGAAGCCACTGCATCCTAGTTATTCTTCACTCTGTAGCTGAAGAACTAGAACAACTTTAACGGGAAGCATTTTCACAGAGATTAGAATCAAACAAAAGAACTTTTCATAGGGCAGTTTTGCTTTTCCAATTAATTTAATGGATTTTCTGCATATAAGGATGTCAAATTATTTGAGAGACTTGATATGATGATCAGAATGACTCTAAGAATCTATGTATGGATGTGAGAGTTGGACCGTAAAGAAACCTGAGTGTCCAAGAATTGATGCTTTTGAACTGTGATGTTGGAGAAGACTCTTGAGGGTCCCTTGGACCACAAGGAGATCAAACTAGTCAATCCTAAAGGAAATCAGTCCTAAAAGCTCCAACACTTTGGCCACCTGATGCGAAGAACTGACTCACTGGAAAAGACCCTGATGCTGGGAAAGACTGGGGGGCAGGAGAAGGGGAACACAGACAATGAGATGATTGAATGGCATCACCAACTCAATGGACATGAGTTTGAGCAAGCTCTGGGAGTTGGTGAAGGACAGGGAAGCCTGGTGTGCTGCAGTTCATGGGGTTGCAAAGAGTCAGACATGACTGAGTGACTGAACTGAAGAAAGCAGCAAGACAATTTTTTGATGAAGGCCAAAATGAGTGATAAACTTCTCAACAGCTAATTTTCCTATCTTCTTACTCCAGGGTTTTAAGTAAAGGGATTCTTCAACTTGGGTTAAACAAACTTGTTTGGCAAGTCTTGACTTGGCAAGTCATTCATCCCTTTCTGCCAGAACACTTCTGTCTGCACCCATGTGGTCCTACGGTCACTTCCTTGACCAATACCCTGGCCATCTCTTGCTAAAGCATCACATCTATTCCTTCACCCACTTCCAGCCACTCACGCCACCCTCAGCCAGCTTGCTCTGAGCATCACTAGCAGGCTTGTGTCGGTCACTGACCACTTTAACCATGTTGCTCTCTTCCTTTCTCAAGTAGTGCAGTGGCTTTTCACCAAATACAACATCTGGAAGGTACTACAGACGATCTCACTCATACCCTTATCCACTGTCCTGTACTCCACTCCCCACATCTAAAGAGTTTCTAAAGCTTTCTTGTTAAGAATACAATTGGGATTGGTTAAGCTTTCAACCAAGAGCTCGTCTTCTCATTATAGGGGACTGGAATGCAAAAGTAGGAACTCAACAAACACCTGGAGTAACCGGCAAATTTGGCCTTGGAGTACAGAATGAAGCAGGGCAAAGGCTAATGGAGTTTTGCCAAGAGAACGCATTGGTCATAGCAAACACCCTCTTCCAACAACACAAGAGAAGACTCTACACATGGGCATCACCAGAAGGTCAACACCGAAATCTGATTATATTCTTTGCAGCCAAAGATGGAGAAGCTCTATACAGTCAGCAAAAACAAGACTGGGAGCTGACTGTGGCTCAGATCATGAACTCCTCATTGCCAAATTCAGACTTAAATTGAAGAAAGTAGGGAAAACCACTAGACCATTCAGGTATGACCTAAATCAAATCCCTTATGACTCTACAATGGAAGTGAGAAATAGATTTAAGGGACTAGATCTGATAGAGTGCCTGATGAACTATGGACAGAGGTTTGTGACACTGTACAGGAGACAGGGATCAAGACCATCCCCATGGAAAAGAAATGCAAAAAAGCAAAATGATTGTCCGAGGAGGCCTTAAAAATAGCTGTGAAAAGAAGAGAAGCGAAAAGCAAAGGAGAAAAGGAAAGATATGCTCATTTGAATGCAGAGTTCCAAAGAACAGCAAGGAGAGATAAGAAAGCCTTCCTCAGCAATCAACACAAAGAAATAGAGGAAGACAACAGAATGGGAAAGACTAGAGATCTCTTCAAGAATATTAGAGATACCAAGGGAACATTCCATGCAAAGATGGGTTCGATAAAGGACAGAAATGGTATGGACCTAACAGAAGCAGAAGACATTAAGAAGAGGTGGCAAGAACACACAGAAGAACTGTACAAAAAAGATCTTCACGACCCAAATAATCACGATGGTGTGATCACTCACCTAGAGCCAGACATCCTGGAATGCAAAGTCAAGTGGGCCTTAGAAAGCATCACTACGAACAAAGCTAGTGGAGGTGATGGAATTCCAGTTGAGCTATTTCAAATCCTGAAAGATGATGCTGTGAAGGTGCTGCACTCAATATGCCAGCAAATTTGGAAAACTCAGCAGTGGCCACAGGACTGGAAAAAGTCAGTTTTCATTCCAATCCCAAAGAAAGGCAATTCCAAAGAGTGCTCAAACTACCTCACAATTGCACTCATCTCACACGCTAGTAAAGTAATGCTCAAAATTATCCAAGTCAGGCTTCAGCAATACGTGAACCGTGAACTTCCAGATGTTCAAGCTGGTTTTAGAAAAGGCAGAGGAACCAGAGAGCAAATTGCCAACATCTGCTGGATCATACAAAAAGAGAGTTCCAGAAAAACATCTATTTCTGCTTTATTGACTATGCCAAAGCCTTTGACTGTGTGGATCACAATAAACTGTGGAAAATTCTGAAAGAGATGGGAATACCAGACCACCTGACCTGCCCCTTAAGAAACCTGTATGCATGTCAGGAAGCAACAGTGAGAACTGGACATGGAACAACAGGCTGGTTCCAAATAGGAAAAGGATTATGTCAAGGCTGTATATTGTCACCCTGCTTGTTTAACTTATATGCAGAGTACATCATGAGAA